CTTTATTACTTTTAGATAACATACCACACATCAAAATTTTATAATTGTAAGATCTCGATATGAATTTGAATATGTAGCTTAAAAACAGAACAGCTGAATTCTAGTTGAAATTATCTATTCTTTCAAAACTAAGAAATACTTACCAAGAAAACGATAAAAAATTTATTAATCATCAGCACAAATGACACTATTTCAAGTAATTTGGTTGATTCTTTATTGTTGTTTTCCGAATTATATAGATACAGAAATATATACTGTTCTATAACAAAGAAGAATTCTATAACTATTGCAGTTCTTGACGTTCTGAATTCACATTTCTTTATTGGAATGACGAAAGCAATGTTGACTTCATTTTAATTTGTAATGAATTGAAGACAGAAAAAATTATTTTACCGTAATATACACATCTGTAACAGCAAGTGATCATGAAATTGTAAGTTATGTTGTTGGTAATAGAAAGGTAAAAATTATTGAGAAATTGTTCTTCAAATGCTTGGCGTGTTCTGCTTCAATGTTTGGCATGTTCTGGTTAGTTTTTTCAAGTTCTTCAGCTGTTCCTTAGGGAAATTTTGATTTTTATTTGCTGCTAAGAAAATGGCGTCCGTCATGGCCGATGATTTTGATGGAACTAAATGAAAACGTGATAAATTAATGTCTGATATTTACAGGCTCCCGATAGAGGGCGTAGTCGAGCGTTGCGATCGCGAATACTTTTATGACTTTTATTATTATGCTAGTGAGAACCAAAACAATATGGAAATGAATGAGGGAAAACTGGATCGTACCACGTGATTTTCCGGCCAATAAAAATGCAGCGTTAAACGTTTAACGCAACCTTGTTGGAAGTCGCATAAGAAGTATAACTTCAAAATCAAAGATATCAAGATTTCTTTTAGTTAGTAACAGTGTATTTTAATTGAATAACTATTCATAAATCGAGTAAATATATTAATTAAAGGTAAAGAAGTTTAATGGTACACAAGAGCTGAAAGCTACCCTGTTTCAAACTCCAACATTATATTCTCAGGATAAATGGAATGAAACAGAATAAAAATCTTGGAAGAAAAGAAAAGATAAAAGAAACAATAAGTAAAAACAGGAAAGACATCTAAAATGCCACGTGGTCCTGAAACTCAAATTGTGCCATCAGTAAATACAGCTAATCAACAACCATTGTTTTAAAATTTTACATAAGATAAGAGAAAGTTTAACTTTTAACAACCATTTCGTTTTCTCTACGTTGCTTACTAAAGGAATAATTTTGTTATCAGCATTCAGCTAAAAATAAAATTCTAGAAACAATTTTATATTTCCTGAGGTCAGCTATTCTGCCACCAATAAGAAAGGAAATTGTTTTTTATATCTATTGTCCTTGAATTTTCAATACATTAGTGTACACTGACCAATTTTGAGAAATAGTTCTAAAAATGTAGAAGTTCAAAGAGATAATTTTTTTTTCAAATATGAACAGGGCGTAAGCTATTCTTAGGTTTTTAACTTGATCAATTCCAACTCATGTATCAGTGCTCGGATGTTATTGTAGAATCCTTTTTAATTTTCAAGTAGATTTCACAACGTTGAGAATGGAAGTTTTATATTTTTAATAATTTATTTTCACTTTACACACACAAACCAAAAGCGTTCTTCATTACTCATGATTATCAATTTCGCTTACGTAAAATTCGTGTTCAAAAATGAGAAAAAAATATTCCAATTAAGTAAAATGGTCTTAAAGAGACTTCAGAGAGATATAATAGGGATTGTGAAGATTTACCGTTTTGAAGGATTGCCCGTAAAGTTTTACTGCCGTTTAATAAATACACCGGTAAGGATAATTTCTTTTTCAGTATCTTGTGTAATTCACTATTTTTACACATTTTTTGTCACTTTGTATAGTTTCATGTATTTTCGAGATTCTTAGACTTTTTCGAATAAAACAAAGAAAATTTTCGGATGAAACAAAATGCATTTCTTGATATTTTACAGCTGATTTCACATCCACCAATGCAATTAAATGCACAGCGATATTGATACACAAAATGTTGAAAAATCACGTTACGTTGGAAATTATAGAATAAGTAGGCGAGCAATCAGTTAAATTGACAAGCCCGAAGCTATGTTATCAACGGTAAGCTTCTTTCTTGTGAAGAAATATTTAAAAACTACTTTTCAAATTTTATACAATGATTGGAAAAAAGACTAATTCTGTAAAATTTATAATTGACTGAAAAAAATGGTTCATTTGAGTTGTTAAAATTATCCTTCAGTTCCCTAATAATGACTCAAACTGTACTTAGACCTTTTGAATAAATTTGCAACGATAGTACTAAAAGAAAACAAAAAAAATTTTAAATCTAAATTATTAAAACTTCTATGAAAAAAAAAACGCGCTTAAGAGCAGCAGAAATTTCACAAAAAGGATAAATGTAGCAATAAAGGAAACGAAGGAAATAAAAATATGACCACCGAAGCCTACGTCTTCAGGGGGTACCGGCCCCGGTATGGAGGTGTTACTTTAGGCATTTGCCTCCCCCTCAATAGAAAAGGTTTTGTTTTATGGCTACCGGGGCCGGTACCCCCTGAAGACGTGGGCTTCGGTGGTCATATTTTTATTTCCTTCGTTTCTTTTATTGCTACATTTGCAACGATGGTTGAGCCTTAAAATATTCATTAGTCATGGTAGAAAAAGTTCAAGAAAATATTTAAATATTGAAAAATTTACAATTTTGACGCTGTTTATGAAATTCAAAATTTAAAAATTAAAATTTTTTAGGGATAAGAAGATTAACCTAGTGGAGACGGTTTAAACAGCATAAAACTAAGAATGAAAGCTCTCATGAGGACGACATTAGTACAACATGTGTACCAGAGATATAAACTTCCCAGAGAACGGGATTGTTGCTTCATGTACCAAATATAAAAAGTTCTCTATGGACCGGATTTGTACCAGAGATATGCACTTCTTTGAGAAAGCGATTGGTACAACATGTAAACCAAAAGTAAAAGCGATTGTAAAGAGAAAACATACCAAAGAGGAATTGAATGTAATGAACAAAAAAAAATTATAAAATGTGCAGTTGCTTGAAATTAAAAATAGATTAATATCTTGTTTTCCTTAGAAAGAAAAATTTAATTTTGATTACCTTTTTTCTTTATTTTTATGAACAATCTTTTTTTAATTGGTTGATTTTAATACTTAAGTTACGCTATGGGGGGGGGGGGGAAAACTATCAAATTTCCCGTTATAAAAATATTCTCAATTGCTTCGTTTCATTAAATTTAATTCGACATGCTGCAATGAAAAGTTTAAAAAATTGTATTATATGAAAATCAAAACTTAACCTTTCAATTAAGTTAGGGAGAATGTAATTAAATATATGCTACATAAAATGCATATTACAGTTATAGAATTGAAATAATTTCTGAAAGCGCATGCCAGAGAAATTATTCAAATTTCTAATTGGTCTAACCATCACGTAGAAAGAAGTAGTAATACTTTTAATGGCCTTCGAAAGTTGGATTTAAAGCTTGGGGTAAAGGAAGAAATGGTATATTTAACTTAATAGACCAGATAAAAATTAAGTATTTTGGAAAAGAACAAACAGATAAACTTCAATGATACAGTTAACAACCGATGATGCAGATAATGGAATTGTGATTCAATTTATTACCGAGATCAAAGAAAGATTTAGATCACAAATATAATGGATAACATAATCAATTTATGCTGACACAATAAACCTGTAAGCAAATATCTTCATTGTTACGTTTCAAAATAAATTGCATGATTGTATGATTGCATGATTGTAGTAAATAAATTGCATGATTGTAGTAAATAAGGTATAATTACAGTTAACTAAGAGATACGCTTTACAAAATCTCTCCAATATGTTCTTCTTTCATTGCAATCTAAATTAAAAAAATTTTTTTTTTTAGGAAAAAAATTTATATACAGACAATCTTTCACTTTCAGTACTTGGAGACTGTATTTCTTGTTTGTTTAAATTTAGTTTATGATTATTTGTTATTAACTTATAATGAGTAAATTTCATGATTTTTAAACTCTTGTACCAAATAAAGTTCCGGAACTAAAAGAATAAAAAAACGAATATTGTTATTTTTCACAGATTTTTATCAGTATCATTGCTAATTGCGAAGCAAGTTTGCGTGCTCCTATGATTTAAGCGAAATAAATTATTAAAATGATTCGACTCAAAAATATAGTTCCATTTACGTTAATGAAAGAAATATTTCAAGCATATTTTAATTTGTATAAAAGCAGCATATTCTGATCAGATTAAAATTGGCCGTGATAGCCTGGTTGGCAGGGCTCTGGACTCACGTTTGTGAGAATGGGAGTTCGAATCCATCCAGCCTAAGACTCCCCGTGTAGTAAATGATGACTGGTGCTCGTTAAATCTGTGGGGTCACAAAGGCTTCCATATTCCCATAACGAATCAATACCTCTAGGGGTACTGAATTGGAGATTGATCATTTTCTAGTTCAGGTCAAGAATTACGATCTGTGGATGAATGAATGGATGTGTGAATGGGTTCGCCTATAAACGTTTATGACGTATGGGTGTGGCAGAATTCGAATTCCTGGCCATAGATGGCGCCACTGGAAAATAAGTACAATCGCACCCCCTCTGCCTTAATGGCTGACAACAGCAACAATAATAGATTCAAATTAATTGAGTTCAACCAGTGTCAAAATTGCTCAAATAATTTTATTAGAATCAAATTAATTATAATGAAGTTACATCTTTTATTTGAATTTAAATAAAAAATTATATTGCTGTAGTATAAGTCAAAGCAAAATCAAGGGGGATGGGATGCTGCTACTTTCTTTGGTAAGCATTGCAGGGGGAGTGAGGTTTGATTATTTTTGTTGAGGGGGAAAGTCTGAAATAGACAAAAATATTCTTCTGCAATTGAACGGCTCTATACATACAAGCAGATCATTATGAATAAAAATATTTTCAACAAAAAAAGTCTTACTTCTAATTTTGATGACACGACGAAATTCTTGTTTTCATCCAATTCAGAAATTGAATAGTCTCTACTATCATTCCAACTTGATGCGTTTCTTATCAATTGTTTATCTCCACACACACTTTCATAAATACCTTCTGATTTGAGCATATAATGGAGAGATGTCCACCCGAAAATATTTCCGGTGAAAATAAAAGTCTCAAAAAGCCCATACCATAGAACGAACTGCCGGGTGGCCGGCCTCATCACTGAAAAATGTCTTTAATTCTGAAATTACGTAGAAAACCTAGAATTGAAAAATATCAAATTAGAAAAAACCATTCAGTAAAGTTGTTAAATACAGGGTGATTAAAATTAAAGTTTCAAAAGAAACTATAAAAAATTTAAGCTGATTTTTTCTTTTCGATATATGACCTTGAAGGGGTGGATGGGTTTACGTAATTAACAGTATCACACCTGCACTGTCATGCACTCTGAACAGTGCAGTTGGCTTAATGTGTAACTTGCACCTTAGTCGTTGTTTTACGATTCATTTACCATTTGCGGTTCATGTACCACTTGCTAATAAGTGGAATAACTAAGATTATCCTTTGAAGTGCGGAATCAAGTGTTTTCCATGTTTTTTCTAGGTAATGTGAGAATTGAGGGCAAGCATATCGTAGAGTTTAAAGTTTATTTCACCTCATCCTATCAACTAATTGGTTGATTGTTTGATTGTATTTATAGACATGATTTTTTAAAAAAAGGACATGTTAATTTACCGAATTGTAATAAAAATTTAAACGGTTTGTTTCTTTGTATTCCATTTTAAAGTGATTAATAATTGATTCTATCCTTTCTTGTGTTGATTGTAGTAACTTGATTTTTTTGATAGTGAAAAATAAATGAATGACACTATCTTAATTTATAAATTAAGATATTGTTATTTATTTATTAACCGGTTATAAATAAACGTTATTTATTTATAAACCTGAAAATAGCCTGTTCATATTAAATATTTAAGCAAGTTGTTATGAAGTGGGTTTTACAATAAACTTTAAGTGAGGTTAAGTTTAAGTAAACTAACATGACATACCTCAACTTAAATATACCTAAGCTTTTTAGTTTTAATTCAATATATCTATTTGAACTTCAACTTATAAAAATACGAAACAAAAGAGAAGATAAATGAGAAAAAATATATACACATTTAATCACTCCAATGTTTGCTTGAAAAAAAAATGTATTAAACATTACGAAAGATAACTTAGTATACCTTTCAAAAGTACCAGTATGAAGTAGAAAAAGATGACCGTATTTCTTGAAATCATCTATCCTTGTGTTGTAATTTACGAAAAAAAATAAGTAAATAAATAAATTAAAGTGCGTTCAAGTAAATATTAAATAACTGCAGATTCATCAAAAAGACCTCTTTAGTTAGAAAGTGGATTCATTTGAAGTGTAATAAAAATAATTTTTGTACCTTAAAAGATACCAGATTTAGCAGGTTGCTATGGGGTGGATTTAAAGCAACCTCAAAGTTAACTTATGTATAAATAAAATACCATTGCATACCTCAAAAAATACATATACTTTGTGTGTAATATAGTTATATTTATACCTCATAAATAACCTCTTTCGATGGAATCAATCAAAGATTTAAATATGCCAATAATTAGTGCAGATGCTATTTTAAGTTACGAAATCAGACATAAAAACGCACTTTCTCTGAATAAATATATCTTTTTTTATGACAGATTCGAAATTCTGATACCCAAAATATGGGGGTAGCCGCAATCTGGGAAATATGGTCCCTATAGTTTGGTCATCAACTTATAAAAATACGAATGACAACGTCATGACAACGAACCTTTGAAAAATACGTCATGACAACGAACCTTTGAAAAATACGTCATGACAACGGTCCAAAATTTGGACCCCTTCATGTTAATTTTATTTTCTCCGTACTTCGCAATATCTCGAGAACTTTACAGAGGAATTAATAATTTTTTCGCACACAATTATAAAATTCCTTTATCCAAAGATAATTCTATAAAAAAATATAATTTTTTGTAAACATTTATAATTTTTTATTATTTTATTTTATAATGGTCGAAAAAATTTTGAATTCTAAGGAATACAATATTTTGCATCATTGTAAAGAATATAATTTTACGTGGCAAAATACAAAAATTTAGCGAAATCGTTCGAATAGTCTTAAGAAATCAAATTTTAAAAAATCTGTTTATTTTTTAATTTGCGCATTGTACATATTTCAATGCATTTTCATAACTTTAAGTTTGAAAGTTTTATCGTTTTGCGCGGCAAAACAAAATGTAACTTAAAAGCTGAACACTCAAAACAGCAACGGTGGCGCCGCTTAGTATTTTTTATTATGGAAAGAAATATCGAAGACATTTTTTTTTATTTAGATTTCTCCTCAAACGAGAACTGGTTAAAACTATATATTACTGTGTTTCACAATTAATTTAAATAAAATTATTTAACAAGATATTAAATAAAAAAAAAAAGTATTTGATAAAAACATAAGCATGAGGTTGAATTGAAAAAAAGAGTTAATGAAATATTGAAGACTACAAAAGAATAACGAGCCAATGACACTGTACTCACGATATTTTATATTATGTAATGATTATTAACGCTTTGGATTATTTAAGACATCATAAAACATGTTAGGTCACTTCCGCCTATCGAATTCACATCACAGGTTACTGTTTACTCGTTAATCTTTCAAGGTTTCAACGCCTCACAAAACAACAGCACACATAAAAATTACTGAAGAAAAAGTGGCAACGTTAAGTACAATAGAAAACATTTGAATATTTTGTGTTTGATAATTTGATGGAGAAGAGCATTTAAGTTACTTCATAAATTTAAAAAGAATTGAAATAAAAATAAAAATATTTTACTTTGCTATTTGATTCTTAAGGGATATTATTCTTTAACTAAAACCTTGTTCAAAACTGCTGAAATGTGATTGTAAAATTTTCCTGGACTTTTAATTTCAACACCCGAGCGAAAAATGAATGTAAAATTTTCTGCGTATTTAAGGGGAATATTAACACCTCTATTGAAATGAATTAAAAGTTTTCAGCTCATATTAAGCAGATTCTAACACCCGTATTAAAAATGAATTGAATATTTTCAATATATTAGGAGAATTTTAACACTCTTACGACCTAGTGTGCAATATATAGGACATTTAATTTTATTTTATTTTATTTTTGTTTGTATAATTTTGCAAAGCGATTGTCTACGTAAAAATATGATTTATTTTCATAGAAAAAGGTTTGACTAATCTGAGGAGAAATATTTAGAACTTTAAATCGTAATTCCACAAATTCATGCCCGCATGCCTGTGATACAGAATCCTTAAAATGTGATGATTCAGTCAATTCAGAATCATAAGAATATGAATGCGCAATATGCTGCGCGAAAGTGCTATATCTCTCTATCGGGGAGATTTAGTTCTTTCACGTAGCATCTACAAGAGAATTTTTCGAATTGAGAGATTTAGCGTACTCATTTACTCGTGTGCGCATGCTCTGTGTAGAGATTACTAACTAGCAGTCTCTGTTTTCTACAGAGAGCGTTCGAAAATACGTACTTGAACATGCAGGCGGAAGTGCAAAATCTGTCTAATGTTAGAAAATATTATTTTCGATAACTGTGGAAAAGGGTCTAAAATAGCTTCCATGAAGAAAAAAAATTATCTACGACTAGTTTTGAAATCTTCATATAAGTGTTTAGAATTTTTTTTTTAGCTAATCTGGTAAAGTTGTCAAACTTTTTTTTAGTTGCATACGGCAAAAAATGAGATAAGACTCTAGCAGCCTACAATTTAATATAAATACGTAGATGAAATTAAAGTATAAACTAAGTGCAAAATCAAAATTCTTTTTAAGGTCATATTCGTATATTCGTAATTACTACTTGAAACCGTTCATAAATTTATAATTTTTTTTTATTTTATATTATTTTGAATAATGTTTTTGACAGTTCAAAGTCGTAGTAGTACTTTATTCACATTGCATTACAGCTGCGCTATTGACTATAAGCAAAAGCCGGAGAAACATCAATGAGGATGATCCGAAGACATGCTATGACCATTTTAATCCTCTGCAGAGGAATGGCTTTCCCGGTTTGACGCTAGAACAAGGACCAATACACGCACCCTCTGTCTCTTAGCAGACTGATCAAAATGGTTACCCACCCTCTCAATATCCACTGCCAGTAATCTTTGACTACTAGGAAACATAGTCTCACGATCTGCCCACTGTGGGAAACAGTGCAAAGTAAAAGAATAAATTTTAAATTAGTGAGATGAAAACACTAAAAATGGCTTCAACAGTTTTCAGTTACTAAAAGTAGTTTCAACAAGATGACACCAGATGCCATACAACCAGAGAAGTAATCTAATGACTGCATAAACCAGTACCAAACCTAGTCATACAATTTTATTTTATATTTTATAACCGTCGTTTAACACAGCCGACCCAATTTTTGGGTTTACGACTACTAATGTTCAACTCCATAGCCTTGTAATTTTGAACCCAATCCAGAATACAAGGGAACTCCTGGATCAGGTATTGGGAGAAATTTTCCTTCGTGGAGGACTTTTTGATGGAACTAACCCGCATTTGCGTTACATGGAGAGGAAGACCACGAGAACCTCCCACGGTTAGCCTCACGGCAAGGGGACTCTAACCCATGATCCGTCTACCACTGAGGATATTTCACGTCAGCACTGTGGTCAGAGCAAGCCGGATGCGGAGTCCGTATCGACCAGCCATCGCCGGGATCGAACCCCGGTTCACCTCATTGGAAGGCGAACGCTCTATCCCCTGAGCCATCGCGGCTCAGTCACACAATTTCCAGTTTTGGTCGTTAGAGGTCAGAACTGGCCACCCAGATCATGCGAATTAACCTTTTGTGCTGTATTTTAACACGTTGACTGCCGCACGCGTTTACAATGAAATCTCCTACAGACCACGAATACTGCTGTACGAAGCGTATTCTGCTAAATACTCCTACCGATGTTTAAATAATGCTAAAATATTTCGACTAAATATTTTATATATTTATTAAAGCACTTAACTCTGAGCTAAAACTATTTTTCTGATTAGAGCTGATTTCAACCTTCTCCCGAACGATACGAGGTGAATTGGTCGTCAATCAACATATCGAGCACTTTCCGACTAACTAGAATTCTCACATTTTCACTGAAGCTGTGTGTTTGTAAATAATACAAGTTTCTTCTGAGTGTAACAAGCGGAATTTAACGTC